CCATCCATCCATCCATCCATCCATCCATCCATCCATCCATCCATCCATCCATCCATCCATCCATCCATCCATCCATCCATCCATCCATCCATCCATCCATCCATCCATCCATCCATCCATCCATCCATCCATCCATCCATCCATCCATCCATCCATCCATCCATCCATCCTGTATCCATCCTCTATGCATTTGTAAATCCATTATTCATATTCTTTATTTTAGTTTATTTGTCTCTGTTATTTTTAACCATACCGTCGAATTTTTATTCAAGATGGTTATATTTTATGGGTAAATAGTTTCCTTAAGACACCTCAGATAGTACAACATCGTTTAGACCAGGTATAATAGGCAAATCCAACCTCTTCAAAATACGATACGCCCCTCCCCATTTAATTCCATTCAAATATAAGGTGTATTCTACTGCAAACCTTTCCGTTTACCTGTTCCTTCCCCCCCAATTAATCTTCAGACTAAAGTGTTACGCGTGCTGGCAAATTTATGTGTACGCCATAAAAATGATGGAAGTCGCCACCAGACAGGGAGGCAGACATTCCCATTTGTCATGGGCAGGTCCAGGGTGTGGGGCTGGGCGAGACGCCCCACCTTTTTTGTTGTGGCCTGATGCTGTCGGCCATTGTGTCTCACCCTCTGTCTCACTCGCTCTCTCTCTCTCTCGCCCTCGCTCTCTGTATGTCTGCCTGCCCATCCGTCTGACTAGCAAAAGTTCAAGCCCCCCACCTCCCTCTCGTCCTCGCTCCCTAACTCCCTCCCTCCATTCCGTTCCGCCTCTACCAGCCAGTAAATCATTCCACGTTCGCGTTGCGTTGCGCCATCCAGATTGATCAATATTTACCTTGGGTGGAGATGATGAACGCCGGTTTGTTAACCCGTTTCAATGCGTTTCAGAGGTAGAAAAAGTGTGCAAGTTGTGAAAAAGAAAGAAGGTGGGATAAACAAAAATGACAAAAAATAGACTGCACTACTAAGGAGAAATGCTAAAGCGTAAATAGCATCATCGCTTTCCAAATACATTAACAAAGATTTTAAAATGTCGGTATGGAAAAGTGTGCGTCAAACTGGACAGAAGGATGAATGAGGGAGGAATTGAGATAGAAGTGAATAAAGGCAGAGACAAAAAAAATATGAGCGAAAAAATAAACACAGGAAGAAAAGGGGACCACAGAGAGGCGAAAAGATGGAAGGGGTAGATAAATGAATGGATGCATGGATGAATAAATGGGTGGTTCAATAAAAGAAGTACCCAGAAGACAATCAAGCCTTGGCCTTCCAGGAAGATCATGTTTTGGAAGCACATCTCTCTTACAGCCAAGTATATTAGGATTTATGTTGAGTTACGGAAAAATTTTAGGCGTCTATTGACATTTCATGCCATTTGACAGTTAATGGTCTTACTTTCTTGACAAATACAAGAAGCAGACCACATTCTATCATCTTTTATTGGGACCAGAGACAAATGTACGAAAACACTGAAGGAATTCTCACGGCTTGGTTACTACAGAGTAATCTTTTTTAGTCCACCAGATTTGGCAATCTTTCGTCCATTCAGATTGTCTTATATATGACAGGTAACTGTAATTAGCATGTCTTCCTTTTCTCCCTTTCGGTCTATTGACATACCTCGTTTGGGATTTTCCTTTTAACTGTGCTTTTTCCTTGAAGATGATTCATTTTGCATGTAATTATCACACTGGCAACACAAGTTACCCCACTCCAAGGCGTTCCACATCTCCCCACTTCACGCCCTTTCACCCCACCCCCACTCATCCCCAGTCCGCCCGCTGTAATTCATTGGCCGAGTGCCCGCTTTGTATTTTGCACTTTTGGGCAGTCCGGACTGGCAGTCGGCGAGTTTAGAAGCAGTCACGACTACAAACGTTTTGGCAGAGGAGGAGACTTTTAAATCCATTCTGACGGCAAAGAGCTGCAGCCAACGGACGACAAGATCGTAAATGGTTGTAAAAATGGACAACAAACATCGGAGCATCTTTCCTACCAGTGGAGAACAGAATCAAATGGGGAATTAAACAACTTGGAAGAAGTGTTATGCAAGTCTTTTAGAAAAAGTGTTTAGGTCAGACTTTTCAGGTTTTAGGTATCAAAGGAAACATCTCATGCATGTGTGCTTGTGGCAGCGGAGGAGGCAATTTGTGTTGCCGCATTCGGACGGTCACATTGGCCATCACTGCGATGAGCCAATCGCCTGACAGGCTTTTGTTGGAGGCGAAAACATCCCACTCCAAGAGACGAGAAGTTAAAAAAGGGGAAAAATCTGGTAAGGAAAAGTTGACACATTGCCTGGCTGTTT